CGAATTAAGTCAATCTCAGAAAGACAAATTTTACATGTTTTCTCTTATTTGTTGATCTTCCCTTTTGTATATATGCATAAAATTATGCATTAAATATTACATGAAATTCCACATGAAATTGTCTAGGGAACAAAATAGACTAAAGCGTGAGAATTGTAAGAAAGAGCGATAGTATGAAAAACAAAAGACCCAGAGACTGATACTGGGCTTCAAGTGTCAAGTTACAAATCAGAAATACAAAGCAGCCAGCCACTACCTCAGCTCCATCCAAAGGGACAATCCTCAAACTGCTCCTGATTTCACAACTCTGCAAATTCATTCAGACTGTTATGCTCTCCTCAGTATGGTTACAGACTCCGGAGACTGAATGCCAGTGCTGAGACCTTGTTCCTGTCTTATACAATGCCACAATGTTGGGATTAAACACATGTGATCACAGGTGCTGGTATCAAAGGCATGAGCTCTGTTACTGTTCACTTTTGTGTAGGCCATGGTGGCCTAGGACTCACAGAGATCAGTCTACGTATTAATGCTGAGACCTGGGATTAAAGGTGTGTACCACCACTGTCTGATCTCTATAGCTGGATGTTGACTTTGCTTTCTGAATCATCACGCAAGCTTTAATAAATCATAAATACTATATCACCACAAAGAGGAGTTCAAGAATTTCGGGGACATTTGTTCAGAATATATTTGTATTACCAGCAGCATGGCAATGAACTTGTGACTCTCCACCATAACAGTGGATACATGTCAGTTTTTGAAAAAGGAATTTTAGGACCTTATGTGAGTGATTTAAGATTTCCATTAGTGAAAGTGTCTGTATTGTTTATAAGAGAGCATTATGATGAATAAATGCCTTTGGTCTGGGGAAGTGGCTCAGAATGTAAAAGTTCTACTCATACAAACTTGATGAATTGAATTCCCATGTTACAAAAGAAATTTTACTTGAAAGAGTTATGCTCTGACCTCCACAAATACATCCAAACTCACACAAACACAGCATAGCACACACACACACTCACATACACTCACATGTGCAGACATCATGCACATTAACACAAACATAAACACTGATAATAATTAAAGTAAAAAGGAAAGAAAAAGAAGGATTTTATTAAAAGACTGGATACTTGCTAGCAGTGTGACTTTTACTTCATTAAATTAGTACTTAAAACAATATATTGATAACTTTCATTTTCATTTTAATCTGTTTTTTGTTTATCTACAATGATGTTGAGAACCAATTCTAGGGCCCTTAATATGGTGAGGAGGCTGTCACTGGGTTCTATGCCCAGCCCTTAGGACACTTTGACCTTGACTTTCTCACTAATCACTACCCTCTACCTCATGTTAACCTTTCCTTGTATTGAAAGGCAGTATTTTAATTCTTCAAATTTCATGAAAAGAAATGTTTGCAGGGATTCATCACTAGAATATATAAAAACAAGAATTCTACAACAAAATTAAATATTTTTTTCATTTGTTGTTGCTAACTTGCTATGTCACTTTTATCTTTCTTTGACATCTAGACCTCCTTGCAATGAGGAAAAATCGTGTCTCAAATTCATACACTAGAAATAAATCATTGGCTTAAAATACTGAGTTTGAGGTGCCTAGATGAAATTAATCAGTGGCATCTAGCAAACACTGCATATGTAAAAACTGTATTTAGTAATTGGAAAATTATCTCATTCATTTATTTAATCACTAAATCATTATTGATTAAGTGACAAATAAATGCAAGGCATTTCTCTGGGTGTTTGAACTAAAATGATACTCCTCAAAATATATTTTAATATAGGAGTAAACCATATAATAAATAGTATATTTAAAAGGAATAAATAAATAGATAATTATCAGAGTCTTAGAGCAGTTGGGAGTGATGGAGGATTAGATAGAAATAGTTTAAATTAAACAGTGAAAATTATTATCTAAAAGAGAATAGCAGAAAGAAAAACAAAAAAAAGTGTGGTGGGACATTACAGATTGAAGACATTGGGAATTAAATAAACAGCAATTTTCACTTATATAATGAATGTAGAAAAGGTGTGTCGAAGGGTTTATCCTGCCTTTAGATAATTCTCATTTTTATTTAAGCATAATGAAGTCTCTCAATGTTAGTTATCAAATGAAACTAATATAATATGTTATATTTTTAGCATACTGGGGCATATCTAAAATACTAAGGTACCTCTCATCCAAAAAACACTGAAATATTTTAAATAGTATTTTAAATGCATTATATAAACAAAAAACTTCCTCTGTAATATCAGGTACATAAAGGTTTAATATTTCTTAGTATTACCTATGAATACAACTTCAGTTTTGAAACTGCCTCTTTTAATGCTACTAAATACATTTTAGTAATGCTATGTAGATTCCAACATAAATTATGTTATGTAGGCATAACAGGCTAATATTCAGAAGTATTTCCAAGTATATAGTATTTTAATTCCTCTACCAAAATTTCAAAATTTAGAAATATGTAATATTTACAATTTTATGATGGTGTTTTATAAATATCCTAAGTTGAAAGTACTGAAATCTGAAATCACAAGATAAATAAAATAGTGACTTCAATTATTTCCTATAAGTGAATACCCCTTTGGATTAAGTAAGGTAAGACAAAACACAAAGTGCTTCATAGACTTTTTCTCTTGCACAAGAAATGCTTAATGGATGACTATACAGATACATTGCACAGCATAACCTCAATGTCATTAAATTGATTATATGGAAATGTGAGAGAGCTTTGCCACAAAACAAATGACTAAATAAAAGGTATAGAAGTCTACTTCGAGAAACTAAGCAATTGTGCTGTTTTATTTTAGCAGGGAGCCAGAGAGAGGAAGGGTACTGGTTAATTTCTGTGGCTATGTTTGGAGCATTTGTTGTGCAGTGGCAGGTTTAGTACAGATTTGATTTATTACTGAACTTGATTGCTCTCTACAAATGACTGAGTTTCTCTTAAAGAAGTGTGCTGTAAGGATGATCTGATCATCTGTTTTCATTTGTGATATAATTACCATGCAGTGCTTAGTTTAGAATCCTAGATGTCATCATCTTTTCTTATCAGTTCTTTTTGGTAGGCTGTCATACACTTAGTCGTATGGACCCTGCCTTACAAATTCTATCCCAGTGATGCAAAATACACAAAATGCAAAGTTACAGAGGGGAGATCCCCACACATAACTCTTATTCCAATTACTGATAGATACTGTGAACCTTGAGCTAAAATATTTTATTTCTATAAAAATATATTGATACAGGAATGACTGTTGTTCCTGAAATTTATAATGCTTAACTGTGTTTCAATGTTTAAATACTGCATGATATTTTATGTTGAGAAAACATATATAAATATAAGTAGTACAAATAGGTCTATTATCTAGTCTGTAAATTATTACATGTATTAATAGACTAGATAATATACAATAACATTCTGTCTTTTAACCATCACAACTTGATAAGTTAATTTTTGACTCTTCAGTCTCACAGAAGTATTTTACATTAATGAGAATAAAAATTCTAACTCATGTATGAATTGCTAAAAAAAGAAGTTTTTATTATACTGTGTTAATAATAGAATGGAAATAGTTTTTAAAAGATGTAAATAAAAATAGAACTAACTATAATATGCTTTAGAAAGTTATACCAAAGTGTGTGGGCATAACTCTTTAGTTTCAAGATAAAAAAGTTTAAGTTTTTATGCTACAAATAGTGGGAAATTATGAATGTGATTGTGATTATTGAGTTATAATTAAACCCTAAGTAATTCTATCCCTTTTCTATTATTCTATGGTCTCTTTAATATGTACAATTCACTTCTTCATAATGAAATTTTCAGATGTAGATTTTTATATGATCTACATTTTGTAAAGAATTAAGGTGTATATACACAAATGCAGATATTAATAATATCTTACAATGTGATAATATGATGAGAAATTTCCATGATTATAGCTGTCTAGACATTTGAATCCTAACTGTGTTTTTTTGTATTAAAAAATTGAGTAGTTTTAGTGAAAAGCTACAGGCAAATTCTGTACAGAGTGTGAGTCTGATACCTGAAACTCTATGTTTAATGTGAAAGTACATGTAAGCAAGGCCATACATAATTGTGGTTTTCATAACTTAATTCTGAGGAAATATTACTTATTTCAAACAATAAAAGCTACATTACAGAAGGTGTGTTGTATGCAGACGGGTTTTCTAGTTGCTGCCAGATACTCTCCACCTGTTCATCTCATTGAGGACATTTACATTGTTTCAGTTTCAGACAAAGTTGTCTGAGTGTAGTCATGTTTCAAGGTGCATTTCCTTTCTGACTAACTCCCCCACGCAGGACTCATCTGGAAAACAAAAATGTCATTAATTCAAAGCTTAAAATTAATTTATTCTGCTATTCCATTGTGTACCACCTCATTATCTATTTCTTCATATACAAATCTATGTCAAGTAGAGCAGAAGACTACATTTCTGGGCGTTAAAGTATGTGTAGGGGAAATCAATTGAGAAGACTAAATGCAGTATATCTGTACTAGAAATAAAAATACAAAGTCACTTCATTTACTCCTGCAATGTATTTTCAGGATCACAGAATTTCCCCAAATGAGAGCACACTGCCTAACTCAAAACATTTTCCAGTTAAGTATCTCTGTAAGTGGCCATACACATCTCTAAGTAACCAAATGAATCTATTTTTTAAACATGTGCCTTGAATAGAAAAAAATATGATTTTGGCAATCTGGGTGCAAACTTTGTCTTGATTTTGAAATCAAGATCTCTGTTCAATGACAGAAGGTTCCAGTGTGGTGCCTGTTTCATAATGCTGTGTACAACTGACTCTCTCTGCAGCTCAAGTTGCTAGCAAAGATTGAACTGTAGCATGAGAGTCCTTTGGTTAACAAATTCCCGCAAAATAACCCCCCCACCTACAAAACCCCAGGAGCTGTAGTGATGTCATATCCGTTGTTCAGGTCTCCACACCTCTCAGCAGTTGCTCCCTTTCTCTTCTTGGGTCAAAACTTTTGAGGTGGGCTGGATAGCTAACAGAAGGGAAAAGGGTAGACCTGGGCACACCAGGTGGAGGCGCTTCAGCACCTCGGCCAGAGCCCGCTGCAGCCGGTCCCAGCCTTCTGAGCTCCCCAACTCCCTACTCTGAGATGCCTGCGGAATGATCGCCCCCCAGGGCGGCTGCTGCTGCTGCTGCCGCTGCTGCTATTGCTGCCGCCGCCGTCTCTGCCTCCACTGTGTTCTGACTGGCAGGCAGAAAGTGCAACTGACGTGGGAAAGGTCTCCGCAGTGAGTGGAGTGGCTACATAAAACAGAGTAAAGAGAGGCAAAAACCCACATCAGAATGCAGGCGAGGTCCAGCCTTCTCAACCTCCTTCTTCTGTCTTTACTTGCTGGATTAGATCCTTCCAAGGTAGGGGCAATATATTGACTCCTTTGAAATAAATGTGCAAAATGTAATGACCTGATGGAGATGTGGGGGGAAATGTCCAAAACGGCATGGGTGACTGTTCCTTCAGCTACCATGGGGTGCTTGATGCATCCACACTGCTTGGAAGATAACAAGGTGAACTACCAGAGGGTTATCTTCTTTAGGTAGAGTCCTGGTGTGAGGGGGGAGGAGGGACCAGAGGAAAGATAATGTATACGGGTAGCAGGCAATGCAGTTCTCCGGGGAATTTAGCTTATTCGCTGTCCAGCTGCTTAATGTTCTTTTCTGAAGTAGGACGGGCCATCCAAGGGAGTTTGCAGCAGAAACAATGCAGTTTATAAGCCTGTGTTAGATGGTGAGTGGTCTCTTTGTTGAAAGCAGGGAAGCGTTTTCCAGCTGATGCTGGTCAATAATACTCCCATCGCAGACATGCTGCGGTTTGTGTCCAAAACATTGGGGAGGCTGCTTGTAACCCACGATAGAGCAGGAAAGCTACACTATCTGCCTGGCCGAAAGATGTTGTGAGAGGGACTTTGTGTTTCTTTCCTTTTGCTGAAGAAATTAGGGAACCCCGAGGAAGTTCTGGTGATCTGTGTTAAGAGACAGGAAGTGAGAAGCCTCTTAAACTAAGGAGTGTAATAGAAAGGATGAGTTACGATACAGCTGTGGAACTCTGTAAATTATCCAGCAATGAAAGTGAATGCTCAGCTCTTCTGGTACAAAGCAGGGAGCGACAGAAAAATATTTTTCAGCGATGTGTCAGGAAAGCCTTAATGATAAAGCGTGGTCATTTCTGAGAGGCAAGCGTTCTAAGAAATGCATAGTTCTCTAGGGTAGGGGATGAGACAAGTGATAGAGTAAGGGATGGAAAGAATTTATTGTTTTCTGTCCCTAGCTGGTGATCAGCACTGTGACATGACTGGAAAAATGATGCCATACCATGCAGTGCTGTATTTTGAATCCTGTGAAGTTATTTTATGAGTTAACATTGTCTGTGTAATTAAACAATTGAATATAACTAAGATGTAACCAACTACAATGAATCAGTGTGATTGGGGTATTCCAGTGCCTACCCTAGTAGATGGTGTAAATTATAATGGAATAATAATGCTGCAGAATTTTCATATTTAGAGATATCTAAAGAAAATAAAACAATTTCTTTCTAAACATAGATGTCCTGACATTGACATTTGAAAGCTCCAAACAATATGTGAGAGACATCTTAATAAGCCTAATGGCACATTGTGTAACACTAAGGTATAGCTGCAAAGCATTTTGCACAAGATAAAATGTCTGCAATATATATTAAATTTTCTCTTTCCAGTTGATATTGGCTAAAACTTGTGACTATATTTTCTTACATATATACATATGTATGTATGTATGTATATATATATATATGATTTTGAATGTCTTGTTAAAGTATACTTTTAAAAACCCAATTAATAAATCAGTACGGAAGAAGTTCCTGGACTGAAGTGGGCTATGGCTTTCTTTGAGTATTTGGAAGTGTGGGTTCTCATTGCCTGCTATATGATTGACTGGATGTGTCTGAGATCTTTAATGTATAAGTACCACTATTGTTGAGAGTTATTTCTTAATATTATGCTAAATAAAGAGATCACCTCCCCAAATAAGCATTGCTCCTTTGGTTAATTTGATCTTTGTTATTTTCATGACATAGTTGAATATTCAGTAGTTTAAAACTTTCCAATTAAGTCAGTCAAAACTCTGAATGCTGGGTAGCACTGAGTTGAGAAATCCAGGGGAAAAGAACAATCCATTCACTTTCCAAACTGCTCTCAGATTTCAGAAGTTTCAAGATAATATTCAAAGGTCTCATCGTGATATTTTGTTCTATTTTTCATGAATTTTCACAGAATATTAAGAACTCTACCAAGTAAATTAATATGTAAATGTTTTAGGTTTGTAGATTAAATAACACTTTTATGAGAGTGAATATAGCCTGATTTTATGTTTACAAAACTCTTTTTGCTTATCAAGCTTTATTAAACAAAATGTTTCAATAGTTGTGATGGGTTCTCAAAATAATGGCCAATAAGCCTAAAAGTAAACATTAATTCAGTTTTGTTCTGGTTAAAATTTAGATGTTAAAGATCAGAATTGTGAAAAGTTATGTTTGGTGAAATTAAAATTAAAATGTCAACAATATAGTACTTCAGATAACCATAGTTTATGGACACACAATCATTTCTTAAGAAATGTGAGAGAAATAGTTAGAAACTCTAACCACCTTCTGCTCTCATGTTAGTATGTTAGGACACTAGCCCAACATAAATTTCAAAAACAAGTCTATTATCTTTGGTGATCTACCATCTTATACTATGTGTTTATCATAAATAGAAATATTTATGGATGCAGAGAAAATGGCACAAGAGAAGATGGATCTCTTGAAACTTTAAGATATGAGATTCTGCCTATATCAAATAGCACCACTCAAAATCTCTGTCTGTTTTCTTATTTAATTTTCTTTAAAAGATGATAATGTACTACCACTACTAACAAATTCCATCTTATGAAAGACTATATAATGCTTGCCTCTATGAATTGCCCTCCCCGTGCCACGATTGGGGTTTACCAGTCTTAATGATAGTTGATAAAGTACCTAGATAATCCCATGTTATGGTAAATTACTTTGAAACTATTTTTATTACAATTTGAAAATGTGTAAACATCTATATTCATAGAATGAACTCCACTTTAAGTATGTACTCAATTTCTTTCTTCTCATTTAGTACATTACAAAATTGGAAAGATTAGTGTTTCCCTGCCAAAGGAAGGCAATTCACCACTAATTAATTATTTGTATTTTCATATGGAAATATTGATTTTTTCTCAGTAAATTTATTTGAATTATGTTTTCTTAATTAAAGTCTAATTAACAATCTCCCAAATCCTTTTAGAAAAATTAAACTCATAAACATATGACAATGACAATTTTAAGAGATGCCAACACATTCCATTGTGATGAGATTTCTGAATTATAGGCAACATCTCACAAAATTACTAAATGTTAAACCTGAGACCTGTCCAGATTGTCTTAATTTTCAGTTTCATAGACAGAGCAGCATATCTGGATAGGAAATTCCTGACAGTGGCTGCTAGATGGCATCTCTGTGCTTGTAAAGTGAAAGCAATGAGTTCTGTAATGACCTTGATAAGAGAGTGGGCTTCTTTATTCTTTTACAAGAAAAAAATTTAAACACATCATTACTTGAACATTATAGCAAAATACTATTCCCATGAATCAGAACTGCAGAGTGTTTTCCTCTGCAGTTCTGAATCGTGAGGTTGGGAGGTTATAAACATGTCAGAGGAGGCTTCAGAGTTTATACTAAAGCACGACTTGAAGAACACTTCAAAGAGGTGAGATGGACATATCTACACATGGCTGGGACTGCTAGACTTTAAGGAAGCGATAGTTATATACTAAATACTGTGCAAAATGTCTTGCTAAGGGAACACTGCTTGAATTGCAGAAGCACATTATCTTCTGAGCTTAAAAATTAATGTTTTGAGTTTAGCATCATGAAGCTTGCTCACAGCACAGACACAACTGTAACTATGATTCAGCAATAATCTCCAGCAGCAAACGGTCTTGTTCTAGCAAAGACAGCAGCATATGAAGAACTCTTGCCCTAAATAAGAAAATTGTGAGAAATCAATGTGAATGTGATGGAAACAAAGAGAATTTCAATAGTCATAATCCTAAATATCTCACAATTCCCATTCCAAAAGACCACCATAAATTAGAACAGAAAATAGGCCAGTGTTATTTGGCCAAACTTTATAGTTACACATCATAAACATGGGTATAATAAATAACTAGAAGTCAAGGTAGCAAAAACCTCCCACCCTCACTTTGTCTAAATCTTCTATAATCTAATTGAACTTTTACTTCAAAAAAGTAAATATTATTTCTTACTCTTTTTTTCAGGAAAGTTGAAAAGGTTAAAATGGTACTGATTTCCTTCATCTTTCTTTAAAAAATTATAGGGTGTTGATGCGGGGGAATGGGAGGTTAGTAGGGAGAAGAAACTGGGGGTGAAATGTAAAATAAGATTGCAATTTAAATAAAAACTAATTTTAAAAAGAAAATTAACAACTCAACCTGAAAACTGAAAAAATTCTTATTGTCTGTATCTTACAACTGATTTTTGTGTGATTACCACTCACTAACAGAATAAAACACCCAGGTCCATCATTTATGTACTAGCCTTTTCTCTTGATAACATGTGTCTCTTTTCATGACACTATGTTTCCTGTGCATGTGTACATGTATGTTCATATGAGGTTGGGCAGATACAAAGGAATATATGTGCAATGTATGTGTGTCTGTACCTGTGTTAATATAGAGCATCTTCCTCGACCATGCTTCACTTTATTTATTTAGGCAGGATTTCTCATCAAATCCTGAGCTTGCTGACTTGACTGTTCTCACTAGTGGCTTTCTGAAAAGATTCCTGGTCTCAGCCTTCAGAATGTTCTGAGATTATTGGCACCCAGGAGGCCCACCATGTGAAGATCAGGAATAAGAGTCTACTCTTACACAGTTAATGCTTTATGAAATTAACCATCTACCTAGCTTGATATTCTGAAGACTTCTTTCTTGCACCCTAGAATAATTCCACAATAACATTTGATAATTTATCAAAATTTGTATATTCCCTTAAGTGGTATACTTAGTGAGATCACAAAATTAGAAGGTCTGAAGCTGAACCTCTAAGAAAATAGCATGCAGTTTTTAAACTTGTGTTTGGAATTCAGGGCCTCCAATTGAATGAACTCTCCAATTGAATGAACTCTATACCACAATCTTGTTATCCTATTTCCTGTTACTTGAGACATAATTTCAGACTTCTTTCTCATCATGCATCAAACTTGACAAAATCATTTACCTGTCTATTCATGCTGAGACCAACATTTCCTACTTCAATAAAAAACGTGTTATTTATTAACAC